GTTGGGTGGCGGATTGTTCACGATTATCGGTACTTGAACTCTAATACGATACGGCAGAGCATACCGATGACAAGGAAAGAAGACATACTGGACGCCATGGCCGGAGGGTACTGGTTTTCAACGATGGACTTGATGTCCGCGTATTATCAAGCTCGTATGCGTGCCGAATCTATCAAGTTCACAGCATTCCAGGCGCCCAACGGACTCTGGGAGTCCTGGTACTGCCAATGGGAGTCTGCAACGCGCCAGCGACGATGCATCGATTGACGTCGAAGCTCTTTCGCGATCTGGAGAACACGAAGTCGTTCTACGACGATATCTACATCTTTGCGAAGACACAGAAGATTGAAGACCACTTGGAGGCTCTCCGCAAAACATTGGACATCTTGCGCGACAACAAGTTATACGTGAAGCTGTCCAAGTGCGTCTTCTGTGCCGACGAAATTCCATGCCTTGGAGATTTTGTTGGGAGAAACGGCGTGCGGATGGATCCAGATAAGGTGCAGACCATCAAGAACTGGCCAATTCCAAGAACGCAAGAGGAGCTTCACAGCTTCCTCGGCTTAACTGGATACGTCCAACAATTCTGCCCAGACTACGCGAAGCTGACAGCAAGTATGTTTACTTTGCTCAAGAAGAAGTCCAAGCGCAATGCGAAGATTCGTTTCGACGAAGAGCAGTCGAACAACTTCAAGGAGCTGAAGAAACGGCTGTGCAATCCACCAGTGTTGCACTTGCCCGATTTCAATCAGCCTATGCATTTGCGTACGGATGCTAGCAAGTTTGCAGTGGGGGGGAGTCCTGTTCCAGGTTGTCGATGGTGTTGAGCTACCCATTGCTTACACCAGTAGGAAGATGAAATCTGCGGAGCTCAATTACCCGACGCAGCAGCAAGAACTTCTGGCAAGTGTTCACGCGCTGGCAGCTTTCCGTATTTACTGCTTGGACAAGCCACCAATCGTGGAAACGGATCACAAGAGTCTTGAAGGTCTCTTTACTCAAAAGATGGCGAACCGTCGTCTCGCGCGCTGGTACGATATCCTCGCGGAGTATCAGCCAACGTTCTCATACCTTCCGGGTGCGAAGAACAGAATCGCAGACGCACTTAGCCGAAGACCAGATTTGCAACCGGAGACGAAGTACTTTCATGACTTGAGTGTGACCAGCTTCAATGATGCGTCCTTCAGTTTAGCAGTCAGCTAGGTGACCACTGACAGCGAGTTGATAGCCAAGATTAAAAAGGCGTACAAGAGAGATCGAGAAGCAAAAGCGATTTTTACAGCAATCCAGCGGCGTGCAGATAGCCAGCAGGCGAAAGCCAGGCGACAACAGAAGAAACAGTATCGCTGCTATTCGGAAGACAACGGTTTGCTGTGGTACCAGACTCCATTCGACGATAGTCCACGTATCGTAGTGCCCAACGATGTGAAGTTGAGGCAGGTGGTCATCAGTGAGTGTCACGACTCCAACTACGGGGGACATCCGGGATCGGAGCGGACGTACCTGACACTGGCTAGGAGGTGGTACTGGACCAAGATGTTGAAGTCAATCCAATCGTACATTGCCGACTGTGAGCCTTGTAGACGGAACAAACCGAGGCTAACGAAGCCACCGGGAATAACGGTGGAGATCGATTTCGATGGACTTCATCACTGACTTGCCACGAACCAAACGAGAAGTAGATTCCATCTGGGTCGTCGTCGACCGACTGACAAAGCGATGTCACTTTGTACCGACTACGAAGAAGGTAGACGCCGAAGGCGTTGCCTGGCTCTTCATCGACCATATCTGGAAACTTCATGGAATGCCAGCAAGCATCGTGTCCAACAGAGACAGGAAGTTCGTTTCGACGTTTTGGCAGCACGTCTTCAAATCAATCGGAACAACGCTCAAGATGACAGTAGCGCATCGAGCTCAAGGAGACGGCCAGACGGAGCAGATAAACAGGACACTTGAGGAATATTTGCGGTGCTTCGTGGGCCCTGTTCAAGACGACTGGGACATCCATCTTGCCAATGCTAAGTTCGCAGTGAATTCAACCGTGAACAGTAGTATCAAGATGGCGCCTTTCGAAGCTGGTTTCGGATACGTCCCACTAAACCCGCTTCGACTTGCGGCGGAGAATCGTGGCAAGGTCCCCACAAGTCGTCGTGGTGCTGAGTTCAACGAGCGCCAAGCAGCTCTTCTTCGGCAGTGTCAGGAAGCACTGACGGAAGCGCTAGAGCGAATGCGCGATGTGTACGACCGAAACCGGGT